AAAAAATTTCTATTTTTATATTTTTCTTATATTTATATATACAAATATAATATATAGATTTAGATTTTTGTAATGCTCTTGTTTACGTTTTATCACTTGATTAGTGAATCAGATTGGGGAAAACTGCTACAATCATTTTACTGCAATATATATATTTATATTTTAATGTGGACTGTCTGGCCAATTTTAATGCTGTTTCTGTTATTATGATTTGCTCCCAAATTGGAATCTTGGTTCTGAAATTCTACCAAGCAAAAACAATATTCAGCCGTAATTTGGGTGTCCAAATTATTTTTCTGTTTTTGGAAAAAATTGTTTTGTCTAGTAAATGTTTTTCATCCTGTATGTGTAGATATCACCTGTATGTTTCATCCTGTATGTGTAGATATCACCTGTATTTTGTATGTGTAGATATCACCTGTATGTTTCATCCTGTATGTGTAGATATCACCTGTATCAGCAGTACTTCTGCACATTGATTTTCAGTAGTTCCAATGAGAATATTCCTGTGTCAAGGTGGAATTTGTCTATAGTACCTTAAAGGTTACCTACACATTGGATATGCACTCTGCACTGGATAGACTGTTATTTGGTGGAATACTCAGATATTTAAGTAACGTCTGTTTTTTTTTCCATAATAGTAGCAAGAACAAGCCAGAACTCTTTCAAAGTAGTACTTCTGATGATTTTAAAGCTCATCACCCATCCAAATCATATCAAGATGTTATATTTATTATTAAGGCTACCCACACCACATTTGTTTGGATTGGAAAGACCAACTACACCTTGACCAATGACAGCAAGTGTGAACCAGAACAGGGTGATTTGCTAAACATTGTATTGTGGCTGAATGGACCAAATCCAGTGAAACTGACCGACTTCTAACTGGAATGCCAAATCTCATATTTACTAAAGCTAATTCTGGTCAGAATATGGTCAATCTGGACGGATCTGCACCAGTCGGCCAGATGCATATGTTGTCTGGTTTAAATTTGTGGTTTTTGCATTTTGCAAAAATCTCACACCTAGACAAAGGCACGCTGATAACACAATAATACAAAATGAGATAAACTCTGCTCTGCTGGTCAAAAAAATAATTTGCAAATTATTTTACCTGTGGTTTTACCTGCACAGGTAAGATCCATTGGGAGATTCGGAAGTAATAGGTTCCATTATGGATTAAAAAGCATTTTATTTGGACAAATAACATTTTTTGCACAAGTCTAATTCGCAATATAGTGAAAAGACCTGATCGAACGTAATGCACACAGCAGAAAAATATTACTGCACTACAGTAAGCTAACTTTCAGAATAAGTACAATAATAAAATAAATCCATAAAACTATAAAAATACATAAACCATCAATGTATTTATTGCAGATTGAGTTAAAAATGTCTTATAAAGATCCTAAAGCAGTAAAGTAAATTAAATAATCCATATTAATGTCCACATTTCACCGTAACTATTCTATGCAAGGTGAACTTTTTACAGATAAAAGAAATCACAAAAGTACTAAATTGTAAAGCGCAATATAAATAAATGAATTTTACTTTATTTTATATAAAATATATTGGAAGTCTTTGAAAAGCCTTGTTGCATGCAAACACAATAAAATCATTTTAAATTACCTGGGATTTAAATGTACCAGACCAAAGAAATAATAAATATGAGTTCCTAGAATTATAAAAGTAGCTCAAGATATACCATTAATTACACACGTAGCAAAACAATAATTTTGGAAGTAACATAGCCCTTGTGCCAAGACGTAGGCTAAAGGTCCTGTAAAGAGACAAACTAGCAAGTTGTTTACATTCAAAGGTATTACCATGACCTTAGTTGAGTGTAATTAGAGGGGAACTGTCACTCCCTTTTTAATAGGGAGTTTTTTAATATCATGGTTACCTATAACTATATTTAATAAATATGTATGTGTGTGATGTGAAAATAACATTAAATATATAAATCTACACCTCTTTATCTTGCAACAGGATACCTCCATCGTAGCTTCCTGACAATCATTGTTATAACCTCTGCCCTGTGTACCTGACATTCACACAGACAAGAGGAGTCATTAAGCAATGTTTCTAATTTTACTCTTAATTAGCAACGTTTGCCTTTGATTTACCTTGTCTAAACTGGATTTAAGGGGCATTAGATAAATAGCTCATTCTTTAAGATAAATTTAAAAGAAAACAGAGCAATTCATGAAAATAAAACATTGCATGTCTAACTCCATCTTTCAAGACATGGACATAGAAATAACTTGTCTTAATGACTGTTGTTTTTGGTATGTAAATGTAAATGTATTTGTAAGTATGTATATTTAATTCACAATAATTTACATTTCATATCAAGACCAACAGTGGTGCTACCATTACTGCCACCTACAGGTCTGTCAAGTACATTGACAATTTTCATGGGGTTTTACAAACACCAAAACACTGACCCCTATATGTCAACAGACAAACAACATTTCACATACCAATCAGTATCCAACTACACTGCTACCTATAGGGCACTCGGCAGATCTCCAGTGCACTCGCTTTTTGCAATACTGACCCCTACCATTCAACAGACTTTCCCCTAGCAAGGGGACATACAACATACAAGGTGGGGACAGACTACTTTTTCACTTGTACATACGGCACTTAATGGGTTAAGATTGATACATATTTAGCCAGTATGGCTACGATGTTTAATATTTACACATCACGGCACTTTACTTTTCACATATACTGTACGTATTAAGATAAGCTTGGTCTATGCCATATTTCCTTATGCCATATGGTTTTATCCATTCAGGTTACAGTTACTACTAAAAAACCTATACAGATTGTCAGGTTCAATACCATACTACCAGGTAAATACACCTGCTCACGTAGTTATCCATCTCTTACCTTCCCTGGAACAGTAATAGCGTACTGGCAATTAGGATTCTAGGGCCCAATCGGTATTACCCCCTTTTGTTCGCTGCATTACGCTTCGGTTAGTGGTCCCGCGAGGTCAACACCCCGCCTTACACTCAAAGGCATACACCCCTCGGGCCACTCGTGAGCTAGCCGCCTCGCATTGTATCATAGAGAGGGCCTCACCTGTCACTCCCCTTCCTATTTTCTGGTTACAGTCACCGAGAGGCCAACATCCTGCCACAACGTTCAGTGGCCACAAAAAATAGATAGAGCCTCTCAAGCCACTTGGCAACTAGCAGGACCTCACTACTCACCAAAAAACACCAAGCTTAATTGTTTCGCCTTACGGCTTAGCTAGCAAGCCAGTACAAAACCCCTGGGTACAAATAATAATTGCAATCTTTATTGTTATTTAAGTATTTCTCAGAAAAATGGTGAAGAATCACCTCTTCCTAGCTGGAATTGATACACCTTCAAGCAGCAATCAGATCCTGGACGATCCCACACATTACCACCGACCTAAGGAGGCGACAAATCCCCTACCCTGCCACAGCAAGGAAAGCAGAGTTATTCAAACTCCTCCATACATCAACGGACAACACAGAGGCAGGGGAAGGCCCAGCAACACCAACTCAGGTGACACCCAGGCCATGCTAGCCTCACTCATAAACTCATGAGCCAAAAAATTTACAACAGACTGGCCCTCACAAGGCTGGACCTCACGCTGCTGTACAACCAGCTCAAAACAAAACTCAGTTACCTGGTACAATCAATTCTTATGACACACAAGACGTTAACCCTGCACATATGATCCCAGCACATTGGGGAAACAAGGCATATATATGTATTACGATGTATCTGTGATGGTCAGATCCAGGGATTCCAGGTAAATCAGGAACTGACCATCCCTTGTTTGTGTGTGCATTTGGAATATGTAGAGATGTTTATTTGTGCAGGTACCCATACAAAAGGGATTTTGTCCCAAACAAACGGACGATCACTCTCAGGCTCCAGGTACCAGCACCTCTGAACTACCAGAGACAATTGGTATGAGTAGTTGCATTGCATATAGACTGTTGCATATATGTTCAAATGGTTCAGGGCACATGACAAACCATGTGTCCCAATACAACTTACAAAAAACGTACTCACCATCTGTACACACCAATGCATTTTCAACACTACTGACTCATCACCCTTCCAGACTTGCAGTAGATTTACTAAAGCTCTGGAGCTTCAAAGGGCTCCCATACAGGTATCATAAATACACCTTCAAGGAATATAGCATGCCCTCACTTACAGTCAGCACAACAGAACCATCGGCTGTAAACACACTCATAGGGGTTTTACTTGGGTTTATCAATTTCCACCATTTACAGCATGGCACCAAACACAAACACATTGGTATTGTCACAAGGAAATCTTCCCTTAAACAAAGACACACCATAGACTTATTGGCACCACACACCTCCGCTACCCCAAGTCTCAACTCCCTCATACCCTCCAAGGAGTTTCCTTACTATACAACACCATTGATCTACCTTTACAGCTATCACTCAAGCATGGGTTGAAGCTTGGTTAAGTAAGACCAATATCATCTACGCAGTAAACGGCTACCATCTACCCTACACATTGTCACTTACATGGCATAAAATGGGCAATCCTTTCCCCGCTCAACTTTCGGGCTACTGATTAGCCTACTATCGATATTCGCAGATACTCTGTGCTGGTTATGATAACATATCCAGAGGCCTTACAGTCGTACACTATCTAGAAGACTTCTTGTTGATCAGCCACCCATACAGTCATGGCCACTCTTTCGTTCCAGAGACAAAATCATGGATTAGTCATACTCATGCAGCATAGCATGCACTATCCCACCTAGCACTTTCGTCTCATACTTGTAGAATGCATAACACAGCTTTTCACCTGGCTTAAAGAATCTCATTGGAACACGACATAGCTCAACCTGTGTCATAACATTTCTCCTAGATTTTGCTTCTTTTTGCCACCTTAAACTAAAACTATCTCACACACCATTAATTATATATTTTACAGGCATTCAACATCACAGGATAACCTATGGCCAAAGCTATCATACCAGACAAGAATATACTCAGAGGTTTTCAGGAATCCATTCCCCCACGTTCCTCTAAGAGATTACCAATAGCCATCCAACTTTTCCATCCTTATCGGACCTATTAGATCTACAACCATTCAATTATACTACCAAGTCTGCCATTACCAGCCATGCACACTGCCTTATATGGCTTTCTCAGGCCAGAGAATCCACTACCATCACCACCACTCAGACAGATCATTGTCTTCAATGATCCCACGTACGTAAACACATATATCATTACCTATTGGCTCTACCACATTCTGAAACGAGTCAACATGCACCAACAGTAGAGATAACATACTATCCTACCCACAACAAATGGTGTCCAGTTGCGGTCCTAGATTCCTACCTTCAAAATCCTTCCAGGAATTAAATACCGTAATGCATTTAAGGAAATGTCTGGTTAATTTGTATATATTTGTTGACTGTATTAAATCTTTGATTATTCATTTTTGCCCTTTTTATTTACAGGCCTACCGTATCGTCGGTCTCGGCACACCACAACCGACGTGCTCCCTTAATACTATCCTACGCTTATACTGGAACCTTACTCCATATACAGCTATTTGCCCCTTACACAAGTATTAAGGCCGTTTGTCCTGTATTTGTGGGAGGGGCTTAAATTAATTCACTCCCCTATATAAGGGACACCCCTTACCTGACTCCATATCACTTGAGGTCAGCATCAGAATGACCCTCCCACCCACTCCTCATTTCAACACTTTCTATTTTCTTTCCATTTACTTTACTTTCTTACTCCTTGGTGGGCCCTCTTTATTTACAGGACAACCGTATCGTCGGTCTCGGCACACCACAACCGACTTGCTCCCTTTATACTATCCTACGCTTATGCTGGAACCTTACTCCATATACGGCTATTTGCCCCTTACACAAATATATATATATATATATATATATATATATTTAGTTACAGTATATGATCAAACATTGCATAAGCCTGCAACAATGCCAATGTACTCCATTTGTGGCTGGTCCTACTCTAACAAACTCATATATATTAGATTGCTAGGATATATATATATATATATATATATATATATATATGACAAACTCATATAGGCATTAGATTGCTGGGATATATATATATATTTATATATATATATATATATATATATATATATATATATATATGAGCTTGTTAGAGTAGAACCTGCCACAAATGGAGTACATTGGCATTGTTGCAGGCTTATGCAATGTTTGATCATATACTGTAAGTAAACCTTCATTATTTTTGCATAGGTTAGGTTTTTTGTTTTTTTTAAATAATAATAATTGCACTATACATTTTAATATATCTCCGTCTTCTAAAATTTTAGCTAGCCCTAAAACACCTACTTAAAGTGGAAGATACCTCTTCATGTTATAGCAAACAAGACAACGTATTAATAATTGACAGGTCAATAAAACTAGAGCATCTTCTGTCAGAAGCTGAATATAAAGAATATTTTTACTTAATTTGAACTTAATAAAAATACCATTATTGTTGCAATAACCAATACTGATGCAATATTAAGTATCATTAAAATATATTTATAATATCATGCAATTTTCCACAATCATTATATCTTTGTTATGATCCTTTCCCTTCTAATTTGTTGGACACCAAATTTTCTCAATCCATTGACTCCTACGAGGTCTTCTCGTCCCTGAATCAATCAGCCGTCACGCATCACGCAAGTCTAGTTAAACATTCATAATCGCATATCCCCTTTCTGAGGACTGTGCATGATGAAGATTCTTGATTTTGTTCCACATCCATTATAAGCATGTAATTTCTGTGATTGTGCAAATAATGTCATTCCAATGTGTATTGGAGATTTAATGAATGATTCAAACCTGGTTGTTTGAAATGCCTGCCTCAATTTATTTAGATTTAATAATAATTTTAATTCCTCATCATCGAAATGACATTTTATATTACAGAACGTTCAAACTGTAAAATTGTTCATTGTAAGTCTGTTGTGTTGGAGCTAAGACAATATAATTGTGAGGTCTATATATAGTTGTTACCAAAAGTTATGCTTTCACGTTAGTGAAAAATGGGAAAATAATGAATTGTAAAGATCTTGCATAAATGGCAGAATTGTCTGTCTGTTCGTGCAAAGTCCTGAATTCGAAATGTACTCCTTTAGTACTGAAAGGTTAATTCAGATCATACCAGTCTTTTCTTTTCTGAAAAAACAGGATTCTTACTCTTACACCAGATTCTTCACTTAAATGCTACTCTGTAAATCTACATCCAACAAGCTCCATGGAAAAAGGCCAATATTTCCTTCTTTGTCTTCATACAGCTGCCTGTTGGAAAATGATAAAAAAAACAAAAAAACCCACAGGTGTCTTGGCACGTAATGATTTCTCACTGTTTGAAGCATATAAAAAGAAAGAATTAACTAAGGGAACCTTATGTCAGTCTGTGGATCCATTAGTTCAACTGGTCAACCTTTTGGACGTTGTCCAAGAGGTCTGGAAGCTTGTGTTCCCTAAACTGATATTGAGGACAAAGACATCTGCTTTTCCAGATCTTTAGATAGTCTGAAAAAGGCCAGCCTGCTGAGATAACCTTCCATAGCTGGCAATGTATCTAGCCACTTGGCTTAAGCCTGTTGTATTTAGTGTTAGAGCTATCAGTTCACCCTCCAGGGGAGGGAGTCCTGTCAATTGATAACCCTACTGAAGAGAGCTAAGCTGGTTTACTTTATAGATAGCAAAATGTAATATATTTTATTCTCTTATTTATATAGGTATGTGGCTCACCTACATAACAAAAATAAAAAATACATAAATGTAAAGGGACACTATAGTCAGCAAAACAACGTTAGCTTAATTAAGCATTTTTTTGTGTATAGATGATCCCTCTGAAGTCTGACTGCTCAATTCTCTGCCATTTAATATAAATAATAACATAATTTAGACGTTAAATTATCACTATAGGGTCACTTTAGTGCTAAAACAACCATTTAGGTGGCTTGTCCCCCTTTAGCCTCCCTATAAAAGTTTAAAACTCACCTTATTTCCTGCGCCGCGCAGGTCCACCGGTGCTGGCTTTGCCCCCTTTGTGACATCATCAAAATGGCTGTATTTTTTGCCAATCCAATGCTTTCCCATAGTGAAAGCAATGAATTGGCTAAAATCTGCACGGGGCGGGTCCAAATGCCATTTTGGACAATCAGGACCTCCTCATAGTGATGCACTGAACCAATGCATCTCTATGAGGAAAATTCAGCGTCTCCATGCTTACTGTGCAGCCCTGAGTCAGGAAGCCCCTCCAGTGGCCATATAAGGAGTGGCCCCTTGGAGGTGTCCTTAGGGGCAATGTAAACATTACCTTTTCTCTGGAAAGACAGTGTTTACATGAAAATGCCTGAAGGGAGCTATTATACTCACCAGAACAATTACATTAAGCTGTAGTTGTTCTGGGGACTATAGTATCCCTTTAATTCACTTTTGTCTCTGTTTATGCAGCCCTAGCCACACCTCCCCTGGTTGTGACTGACACAACTTGCATGAAAAAATTGTTTCCGTTTCAATCAGATGTTAACTTATTTTAGAAGTTTGTATCTCCTGAACGGTAACTTGAACTTTAATCACACATTGGAAGCTCAGGCAAGGTCTAGTGTGCTAAGAACAGTGTAGGAGATAATACATTGTAAAGTAAAAATACTGTTCACTTCCTAAAAGTGTTTAGGAAGGCTCTGTAAGTCACATGCACGCAGGTGTGATGGACTGCATAAACAAAGGGATTTAACTCCTAAATGGCAGATAATTGGGACAATTATGTCTCTTTTAATTATTTGTCAGTGCTTATTCTTTATTCACTACTTATAGAAGCTATTTGACTACTTGCTGGTTATATATGAATGCAAAACGGCATTTTTGTCAACTATTACATAATATATACAAAAATAGTGTTTGAACAAATCATTTCTCACTCCTTTTACATGGAAAGAGTTAACTGCAGCTGCAAGAGATGTTCAGCCAATATGTTAATCTCATTAAAAGATCCAATGGAAAAGTCGCTATTGAAGGATCCACACTTTTCTCTCTGTTTTTCTCTTGTCCGTTTAGGTTCCTTTCATAGGATTTTTAAACTTGATTTTCTAAAAAGCCCTGTGGGTCCTCATAAAATATTTATCACAAGAACCCATAATACATGGATTCTAGGAATGGCTCCTCAATGAAACCTAGCAAAGACTGCTTTATATTCGAGAGCAATATAACCATACATTATTAACTTCCTGCATGGGGATAAGGCCTATTCACATCAACTGCAAGCTGCCAGCTCCTCATTGTCTACTGACAACAAGATATGTGTCATCCAACATGGTCTTGTCAGAAGAATAAAAAATATTTGTTCTGTAAAACGAACGCCTATCTCAAATGTTAGCCTTCGCAATAGCAATGGCTAGGCCTTTATAGTCAGAATACAAAAAAGTTTGATTGATATTTAGGATCCACCAAACTTTGCCAAATAGAATAGACCATGTTCCTCCACCGATAGATATTGATTATCTTCCCATTTGATTGATGAGGCATTTATTACATTTTATATCACTGATAGGTAAAACAGCAAAGATAACAAGCAATACATCATACATATTAAGTATAACGAATGAAATCAACACCTGTGCCTTGCACGTGCCTTGACTAAACTGGAATGTGATCTAATTTGCTCAATCTTTAATATAAAAATCATAACATCTAGTGAAAGGTTAATACACGTTATAGGTGATTTCTAATGTTTTATTCCATGGTGTAATGGTTTCCAGAGATGTGACAGATCCCATTAAACAATTTGTGATAGGAATTCAAATTAGCTTGATGACTAATTATTAAAGAGTAAAGGTTGTTTGGTGATCCATTCTTCGATGGTAAGATTTTACCTGGCAAAATACATTCTGTACAATACCTTCATTAGACTCTCCCCAATGCACTGCAACAGCAATGCCGAGGCATCTGTGTCATTTTTATGGTTAAAAAAGAATGTTGGTTTCTTTGACAGATTATCGCTTTTGAAAGTGAACCTGACTGAAATGGAGATCAATAGAAAGATAGGAAAGGATAAAACCGGTGACAGTTACTCTGATCTGTCCCTGGCGCGCACACAGTGTCTCTCTGGGCTCGCTATAGGCACTTACACTATCACAGGAGCTGATTAGTTACATAGACTGCAGGCTTGCCATGTATCACTTCACTGTCGATGCCTCTGGGCTTTAACTCACTAATACAC